GTGTGGTAGTTTCGGCAGACTCCGTTCAGCAAGGAGCGGAAGAAGCTGATGTAAGTTGACCTTGCCCAGTGCGTATTTTATGCACTTTTCATGAGTGCGTCGTGAGCTTTCACCCTAATCTTTGTAGCATGCCCAAAAAGTAGTTTGTTTGTTTGTGTTTTCTTTTAGCCTACTTGTCCTTCCTCCGATGTGGATTGCATGGTAACTGGCGCCAAAAAAATGGGTACAATTGGTGGGTACCTCCTCGTGGTTGTACCTGGTAACCATTGTAGCACGCCATAGAAGTCTTGAATGCATCTATCGTGTGTTACATTGGGCTAAATCCCACCACTTTCTTAGGCTTTCACTTTCAGACAGTGATGTGTATTTAGGACCTAGCATTTGCTTTGTTCATATTGTAGTTATATGATTCTTAGGTATGTGTATGGGATTGAGGCCTTTGGCCTCTGGTTGGTGGATCTGATCTATCCTCCCCACCGTTTAGGAGCCGCATCTGACGCCTGATCATGGGGTGGTGGCGTCCCACGGAAGCGGAAAGGTGGTTCTTGACCAGGGAGTTGTACGACTCCTTGTTCTTGACCTGCCCGGTACGCGAACCCGTCGAATTTATTTATTAATTTTATTTATTTAATAGGTATGTGTATGATGTGCTTCTCTGTCTTCTGACTGTAACTTTATTTTAACTCTGAAAGAGCAGATTTGATCCTTTATGACTCCTTCATTTTCGACACATTCTCTGTTCTGGACACATTGTTGCAATTATTCTATGTAAAATAGAAGAAAAACACTAGGGAACGAGTTATGAAGCAATTATCCACGACTGTTAAAAGATAATAGGCAGAAAGTGCGATAACAGGGCACACAACTGACAGGCTACTGAGACATTCAGTTTTGTGCCCTGTTAGCGCACTTTCTGACTGCTTATTATCTTGTTACAGCCATGGATAGTTGCTTCATCACTCGTTCCATAGTGTTTTTCTTCTATTTTACATTTGTATCCGAGCAATTATTGTACATTTCCTTTATATTTAAACTCGGATACTGAGCCAGTTATAAATGTAAAAAAGAGAAGAAATACATGAGAACGAGTTTAATATGCAGCAACTATCCACTATAATATTTGTATTCTTTGTTTAAACTGGTGTCTTTCTTTATTGGTAAAGTACGGTTTTCTACTTCTACACGTTTGAATGGCGTTGTTACATGCATAGTCATGTATATCTGGTGTGGATGCATGTACATTTTACAGAAGGGTGTATGCATGTACCGTAATGTCGTGTATTGTGTATCAGGCTTATACTTCAACCAGGTATTTATTTGTATGTCAGCATGAAAACCAGGCTTCTATGGACTATACAAGACAGGCTTTTTAAATACAAGACACTAAAGTATGCACGTTGTACAGGTGTCCATAACCCAGTGGGTGTGAACATCCCCGGTTGGGTGTTCATTGGGTGGTATACATGTACGTTCACATTAGGCCAATTTAGTCCAATAATCAATGGAAGACAAACCGCCTTTCCAGATTCATCACATTGTATAGAGCTAATAACAACTACTACTGTAGTAGCTATTAGCAAGCATTACAATACATGTAATTCTCAATCAAATTTTCGGCCAGGAGCCATCATCAGGATTGAGGAGAAAAAACAAGTGAGGTGGACCTATAACAGGCAACACAAAGTGGAACGAAACTACACCGTGATAAAATTGCACCATCCTTTCGGCGCAGGCACACACACACATACCCATGCACATGCCAAAACACTGAGACACCCACTCACACTCGCACCAACACTCACTCACACTCCAAATCACACCCAAACACGTGTAACTAAAGACCCACACAAAAAATACCAATGTGCTTGAAAACAAGGTGTGAATAGTGGTGGGACTATGACAAAAGAAAAGGAGATGAGATTCCGTCGCCAAACTGCACTTACACTACAACATTGTGCTGAACTACCGGTATATTATAACAATGGCGTGAACAAGCACACATGACAACAGGACAGGACAGTGGCAACAGAAACAATGATCATCATCCAATTTTTCACATTGTCAATTGTCAAGCAACACCCAGCCACAATCACGGTTCACCTTAGGATGGTGTCTGGAGATGTGGATTGCCTCCCTTATCCGGCGGTTCACGTATGGCACTTCCGTTGCGAGTATGGATGGTGAGTATGGATGGTGATGTGAAGGGAATGAATGGCGCTGTGGATGGATGTTGTAGTGGTTGGTGCAATGCGCAGTGCTCTCCCCAGGGCTTCTGCGGTGCACAGGCTCTCGCTTCTCGGTAATGTTCCTGGACTCGCTCCCTGACACACTCCGTCTCTCCCACATACTCCTCTCCACACAGTAATTCTTGTGTCGGGATAAGTCATTCGGACAGCGAAAGTCACAGCCGCAGACACACACCCTCACCCACACACAAAGCAGGTAGCGTGATTACAAAGCTATGCATGTGTTGCCGACAAAGTTACGAAGGTAGAGCTTGTTCTCATGACGACACTTGGACACCAGCTCTGACCTCTTGTAGAGGGAGCGGTTCCCAGGCAATCTCTAGCTTTCTGGCCAGACACAGACACAGCCAAGATGTTAGAGTATGGTGCAGCTCCACCAGCTCCACTAAGTTCTTCACGTAGGCGTACAAGATGCATGACTTGAGGAGTTCTTCACGTAGGTGTACTGCATGGATGGCTTGATAAGTGCTGACGGTGATTCACATCCAGAAATCAAATCCAGATCTCCATAATCTCCATACTTCAGCTAGCCATGTACTGAAGTACTAGTTGTACAGGTTAATATCTCACAAATTATGCTAAATGTCTCGGCCATCTGTATCGACTCTCTATTGTATAAGCGATACGAACGTTGTCGATGATTTGCATCTACAAACCAAATCGAGATGTCCATCAATGTTCAGGTAGCCATGTACTGAAGTACCAGCTGTATAGGTTCTCACAAATCCTGCTAAATGTCTCCAAGCCAAGTGCCAGCAGTACAGCTACTGAAAAATTGTAAGGTCTGAGAGGAAAGCCATAAAATAAGAATTCTCACAAACTCTCATTTATTAATTATCTCGGCGAGAGATTCTCTACAAAGGCAATGGAAAGCAACAGTCACAAACTCTCATAAATACCTCGGCCATCGCGAGTGATTCTCTACAAAGGCAATGGAAAGCAACAGTCACAAAAGTCTTCGAATAGTTTCTCAGTACAGTAGATCTACTGGAGCAGTCAAGGCTGTACAGACTGGAGTCTGGAACCGTTTTCGCGGATGATCCCAGTTGCTGCAGTCCGCGAAAACGGTTCCACAGTAGACAGTGGTCGCAGTAGCCTGGAACCGTTTTCGCGGATGGTCCTACACCAGAAAACTAATCCCTGAAACCGTTTTCGCGGCTAGCCCGGCTAGTCATACATCAGAAATTAGTGGGCTGTGGATTCCAGGGGGAAACCGGTGTATGCCTGGAACCATTTTCGCGGAGGAACCGTTTTCGCGTTTACACCGGTCATCCACCGACGGTGGGCTATACCGTATACGATGCTGGAGGAACTCGATTCCATCCTATAAAATCAATCAATCACTGAAAACTCAAGATTCCTTTGCTCCTGGACGCTCCGACGGGTTGTGATATCTGCCAGGTGCGCAGTAACTAGTATTTTCATCGTTATGGCGAGGACGACGCCGATCGGCAAACTCTCGCTCGCAGCCATCACCAGCCTCTCAAAACCATCACTTGGCATCCCCCAGAGGTATAGGATAAAGCCAAAACAGCTCACAACAAACAAAAGCTAAGGACGATGGAAAGAGAGCATGTCAAAAAGAAGACGAACAGTATGAAGTTCAAATTAATGGTTTTGAACACTCGATCGATCGTACGATCGTATACCACTTTCAATAAATCGTGACGCCATTTTGTTCTAACACGCGGGTTTCTTCGACTTCTCTTTTCTTCTTCTTCCAGAAGCTAGAGAATAATAGAACGCACCCCAAGAGTACATAACCATAATGTACTCTTGGTATAACCAAGAGTACATTATGGTTATGTACGAGTACTCTTGGTATAACATATCTCCAAGAAAGCCTGTACTTTATAACCGAGGTATAGTTCATCCAAATGAATGGTATACCGGTACAGCATCTACATGTGAGTAAATAAGCTCAGTGGGAGCAATGATCATACTCTTGCTTATAATCATACTCTGGTGCTATCAAGAGTCATAAATAACCGCGGGGGGGGGGGGGGTATGTAATCTTGGTGCTATCAAGACAGACGAATTCCCAGACCTTATGTGCTCTTGGACCATAGTATCATAATGCAGGGTTCTAAAAATTAGTAGATCTACTGAAGCCTTTATAAAATTATACTACAGTAATAAGTTATACCAAGAGTACTCTTGGTTATACCAAGAGTACTCTTGGTTATACCGGTACCAATAACGTATGTAAATAATCAAGAGTCCATAGTCAATGTACTGTAAACAGTGTAAACCCGGAAACCTGTGCAATCCTGAGGCCTTCGCGGTTTTCGCGACTGGTGTAAGATCGCAAAAGTAAGCCAGTGTGAAACGTAAAACGGTAGTAAAGAAACTGAGGAACTTGACTCCCTGCTTGACTCCAATCGCGAAAATATCCTGGTGCAAATGATTGTGTACAGTATGTGCTCGCGAAACACGAACTAAAACAGGCGCAAATGTTCCGACTCTTCTTGTAATGTGACTAATGTCAATATTGGGATAGTACCAGGGAGTCATCAAAATACTAGACAAGCGTGTCAACCGTGTCCCTGGTACATACTATGCCCACAGCGCCAGATAACTGAGCCTGATGGCAGCAGACACAGCTAAGCCACCGGTGCACCATAAATGCACCAACTGAACAACAACCTGTGGCCCATACACATACACCCATATGCACACAAACACACACAAACACATACGCACCCACACACACAAACACACACAAACACCCACACAGCAGAGCAACCAGAAGCATACGTGTTTTCATTTTGATATAGCGTAGGTGACCCAGGTTGTGAGCAAAGCAACAGAGATGAACAAGACTTCATGGTAGATATACCATACAAAAAAAACTCCCTAGCCAGAGGGATGGCAGTCCATCCAAAGACATCACAGATATCCAGACAGTGCCACAGACACAGACAATAGAAAAAAAGGTAAATCTGAAGAAGTCAATATAACGGATACGTACGTGCACAACAAGCAGCAGGTTTTGAATTCTTACTACAAATCGGATTCTACCATGGCCAAATGGGAGCACCAGCTCTTCTTTACATAGATATAAAAAGAAAAGAAAAAGGAGGGGGGGGAGGGAGTGAAATCATACGTCACGGAGATATCACAAATAAGCTAGGAATGACAGAGCAAGTGGTGGCAATATAAGCGCACAGCGTCATGTGTTTGCAATCTGAGACCATACATATTCACACACACGCGCACGCACACACACACTCACACGCGCACACACACTCATAAAATATTAGCAGCAGAAGTAGGAGCACCAGCAGCACTGCACGCAGTAACTGAACGAGAGAGTGAGCAGCTCCCAGAGCGCCACAACAGGGTTTACATCGGATATAGGCTAGACAAAACATGCAACAATAATAGAACAATGTCAATGGTGTGTGGTGACAAATATAGGACTTCAAAGCACAATGACTGAGTGATGCTCAGCAGTTGCCATCACGATTGCATGTAAAATGAAAACAACACGACAAGCAAATCACCGAAAAAGACAGCAACATCTGAATTATAGAGAGGATGCATGAGTTTAAGTTACAGCCAGGGGAGAGCATGGATGGAAATCGAGTGAAGAGTGATCATGAGAGGGTGGGTACTGGGTGTACTACTGCATGAGATGGCTGTGACAGTGGCAACAAGAGCACAGCTAAAGTAGCCAGAACAACGCCTGAAAGAGCAACACCAAACATCGTCCACGATGCAGACAGCAGAAAAGGCCAGCTCTTCAAAGAAAACAGTGATGGATGTGTGACCGAGACAGAGAGATCGAGGCAGAGAGTGGAGAAACAGACGGGGGGGGGGGGGGGGAGAGAGAGAGAGAGAGAGAGAGAGAGAGAGAGAGAGAGAGAGGGCAGGCGGGTTGAAAGCAGGGATCAATTTGGCACAGGTTCAAGCAGCATGTCACCAAGGCACAGCATGTTGCACAGCACATTACGATACACAAGTCTAAGAACGCAAACAAACCGCCTACGCTTACTTCACTACTGGCTACGTGTGTTGTATAGTACGATAGCTACTGATGAATCCAAGGTGATGATCACCATGCGTAGAACAGCTACATATACCATCGTCACAACAGGAAGGGAGACAAAGGGAGCTCGGCCCAGCCGAGTGTGGAGTGTGGGCTGAGACACAGACTATACACATATTACCAAATGTTTGTTTCCGGGTTAGCGCAATATATAGAACAGACTTGGATGACAGCTGGCTTGATGGGGTGTAAGCTATGGCGGCAGTGGCAAAGAAGAACGCTCTAGCCAGAGAGACAGAAAAACCTGGAGGTGACGTACTAAAGTTTACGGGTTAACACTAACGCTGATCTCGATCACTCTTTTCTGCACGGGATTAACAGAACATTGGACAAAGACCAATGCAAACACACAAACAGCAGCAAAGCAGCAAGCAAGCAAACACGACAGTGCTTGGTCAGTTACATGTGGAAGTAGGGAGTGGTCCTTAATCACTCACTCAATGTTTACTACAGTTGCGCTCACTGAATTCTGACTCAAAGTGCAAAGCTGGCGCCCTGGACACGTCCCGATTACATCATGGTATTTTTTACATGCGTACGTCCAGCCACATTCGCGCCACTTCCAGGACGACAATGGCGTGCGAACTGACGCCGCCAGATGTACACTCTGGGTCGGATTTCACCGAGCGCAACTGTACATCTGCAGCAACCCTCATGGTCGTTGCCGTCCACCCACCTGTAAAATGGATACGGCTTGAAAATGCTACGTGGCACTGACCGATAGAACAAGAACAATTGAAATTTATCGAAAGAGTAGCAGCTGCAGTACGCAATTGTTGGATACTCAGCGTATCAACATGCTGATACTAATTCCAACAAAAGGGGCGAGCACGGAGTCCATTCGAAGTGGCTCCCGAAACTGATGAGCATGCTGGCAGCGGAGTTCTCTTTCAAACACTAACATCGAGTCAGGCACAGTGTATTGGTCTACAAGCAAGACTGAGAAACAAGAGTCACCACAAGGATCAGGTCCTGCCGCTGGAAAGTGGGTGGACCTTTCCGACCGTGCAGCAACCCAGTGAATTGGGAACTCGTGGCCTGGCACAAGGGTAACATGGATGTAGCAAAAGGGATTTTGGTGACACGGCATCAAGAGACGAACAAAAGGTAACAAAACAGCAGTATTGTTGCTTACCGTCGAGAGCATGATCGGTCATGGCTTTACACAGATGTTCCATGTACTTGTCCTGGGCAGTTGGGAATGACACGCCATTCACACTGCCGTGCCCAGCAGAGGACATTGCAGCAGCTGCTGACATATCAAAGCCAGTGGCGGCGGCAGCGACGGCGCCTTCCAGAGCCGCAGATCCAGGATGCGGTAGAATGCTAGCACCGTTAGTCATGCGAACTGGAATATTGCCAGCCGAAGCTGCAGCTGCAGCGGCGGCGGCAGCAGCAGCAGCTGCTGCTATACCACTGTTAGGACCTGTAACAGCACAACAGCAAGCAAAGAACATGTACACACTATCTAGAACAAGGCTCGTGAGACTTCTTTACACACTTCATTCTGCGGCCATTCGCCCGGAATCGAAGAGGGGTAGCCACTGGTAATGAGATGTGAAGCAATACAATGGACTTAGATCTAGAGGACACTTAGCTGCAAATCGTGTTTGCGAATAGAAATTGATACCAGCGACAGCGGCAACAGCAACACTGCTACTACCACCATCGCCACCAGTTCTAGCACCCAGCCAAGGAGCGCTCAGAGGTATGAGGATACAACAACAAGATCAGCCGTATGCACTTCAAGTACAAGTACATGTGCACATAAATAATACAAACAATACTATTAAGAGGATGAAAAAAGGGTTTTACTCCGAGTTTCACGCACTAAGCGATCATCAGAAAAGAAGGCCTTTCGGCTCTCTTGGACAGCCCGGAACCTCTCTGCTTTTGTACCCATAAATAAATCAGGTTCGGCCTCATTTTTTTCTGCGCTGATTAGTTCACAAAGGATAAAATAGTTCTGACTGCAGATTGAGTATCCATAAAAAAGTAAATTAGACGGTGGGATCAATTTACAATGATGTCTATTACAATACGAATCTAAGCTGCATCAAAAGAACACAACAGCTCAAAGAAAATACCTCCACAACATGAGGTGTGTGCACACGCGACGATCTGACACAGAGGGTGAGTAGAGATGGAGAGAATACTCACCAGACACTGTGTGTGGCTGTGTATCTGCATCCGGAGGAAGAAGATTGGAATAGTCAGATGGAGTGGCCCAAACCTCAGCACGGTCCTAATGACAGCAAGACACACACACATAGGACTTGAATCAAGAGGACGGACAACACATATAAACCAAAGTCACACCCCTATTACAATGTAGACGTCTCAAAAATCCAGAGCTCGCGGAAGGGAAGAGAGAGAGAGAGAGAAAGAGAGAGAGAGTGCTGTTCGTTGGAAATACCAGTCAGAATATTCCGATTGTACAACATTGCAGCGTCATGATGCTCGATGGCTGGTCGTTCAGAGGAGGAGGAGGAGGGTTAAAGTGCTTACATGATCATTAGGAAACAAAAGTCCGGAATTTCTAGATGCTCCTTTAGGAAAAATCAGATAGCATTGCCCCCCCCCCCCCCCCCCCCCATGGACAGAGAGGAATACCAGCAATTGAGTAACTTACATTGTCTGGCATAAGAACAGGAGGCATTCCCTGGGAACGCCGGCCAGACCCTGGTGCCCCAAACGGGTTCGCGAGCTGTGCAGGCGGTGGCCCTACGCTGGGAGGCATCTGTTGCATGGCAACAGGTGGTGGTGGCGGCGGCACTTGCATACCGGCATGCGGTGGCGGCGGCTGTGGCACTGTGCTGTTGCGAGCATTCTGCCGCTCGTAGCCCCGACGCCGGTGAGACGCATTCTGGATAGCCGCCGCTGAAGCAATGACCGCCGCTGCAGCAGCTGTGGGCGTTGACGGTGGCGGTAGGTTCCTGGGTAGTGGCTGGGCTGAGGCAGCCAAGGGTAGTCCTGGATGATATCCAGGCACGCCGGGCACATTGGGTAGCCAGTTGGAACTACACGTCAAAGAACAGAAGCAGTAGCAACAACAAGATAGACCAGAGGCACTCATCAGGATTTGATTTAAGAACAGCGCTAGTTGAAGCTGGAGCCATTTGAATGAAAGGGCAAATTCTGCCAGACGTCAGCACAACGCTCACATTTCACTCAAGTACGAGCAGGTTCCACATGTGCAAGCTCACGTGGAAAAGGAGACACTAACAAGTCAACGGTCACCAAGAAAAAGAGGGCCAACCACTCACGTGCGCATGAAGCGCTGATCATGAAGGTTCTTGCGTTGTGCAATCCGAGTGGCAGCATTGCACTTCTGCCTGACGGTGAAGAGGAGACGCCGATGATCAGCTGTGAAAGCCTGTGGTACAGAAAAGAAGTGAGATAGCAATAAATCCAAGTGGCACACATAGCAACAATGGCATCCCGCTGCCCAAAGAAAGCACAGAGAAACAGCAGCACAGCACTGCCAAGATTAAAAGTCACACCTTTTTACGCTGAACTTAAAGGCCGAATAAAGAAGTGCGACTTACAATCAAGCATGGCTTGCTACACAAGCGAATAGTAGTAAATCAAAAATATGCCGTATGCGATACCGAATACAGTACATGTGTATATTGAAGCAATGTGGCTAAGACATGATGATAGGGGTGTGGCATATAGTCAAGAGCGCCTTAACCCTTTACTACCGACCTGCAGACTTTGGATCATAATTATATGATCGATTACTAAAACCTTCGTAACTCCATCGCTTCTAGTGCAAATTCAACAACCGAAGGGTCTACGTGGTAGCGGAAACTCCAAGCTGTCCAATGCAACAATCATCGAAGAGTTACGATGTCGGACTCCAGAGATATCGCGCAGTATTCTTATCTCGGCAAATTCAATTTTTTGATCGATCTCTTCGCCATTTTTGGGGGAAATCCCATTTCACGTGCTCTTCGAGGGACTGAAAACATGATAATGACGTAGTCGACTGAAGTTTGAATGATCTTGAAAAAAATTGAGCGTTCTGCAAAGAAAAAGAGTGAATGGCGTTGGTGGGACGAATTTGCTTGCATGTCACGCTTGGAGCCGACTTTGCTGTGTTACCGTGCCTGATTTGTGGTGGCTGGATAATGGAGCTTGGTATCCTGGCATCGTTCTCGCCAAGAGCTTTCCAACGAGCCCTAGATTGTGGAAGTCAAGCGAAGAAGACTAAAGTTATGACCTGGTGAATTTGAAAATTGTGCTGAAATTTGTAATTCTGTAGCAGGCGGTAATCCGGTAATAAAGGGTTAAAATCGGGGAAATATGGAATACAGCATGCAAGAATACATATGACGTCCAGCAGAACTCATTGACATCTTTCCCCGGAAAGCAGTCACAAGGCGAAGGCCTCTGGGGAATCCATGAACAGAAGCAGAAATGCATGACATGATATTGCTATGTGCTAGCACCTCACCCAAGATACGATTCAATGCAGCATTGCCTGGCTAGGCACTACTGGGTCACAAAAAGATATAAAAAATAGACGCCTGAAACTTGAAAGGCAACGGACTCTGCGTCAAAGTACCAGCTACACGAGCGGCCTAGTGAGATGGCACATACCTCATGAGTCATTGCCCTGTCCACTATGGACAAGAATGCAGTGCACATGTCCTCATCTGCAGCACAGTCGCACAGCTGCTGGCAGGCTAAAGGCAAAGAACAAAGGGCAAAAAACTGGTTGGATAGTGCGCACCGGAACAGATGCAAGCAACAGAGAAAAGTCCCAGAAAATACTACCGGTACCTACCATGTTTGCATAAGAATAGCACCTCACTTGGCCTCAGCACAGATGAGTTATCAAAATCCAGGCTAAGTTATGTTCAATCTACAGTTGTGGCAAGTGAAATCCGACACTTGACAAAAGGGACTGCACCATGCAGTCTGCAGCCCTGCATACGTACAGTACATGTGTTACATACAACTTTATCTGTCTGATGACAAAACTCGTACTCATCACAGTCAAGGTTCAAAAGGTGCTGGCAAAAATGAATGGGGATTGGATGTCAATATTCCTTATGTGTACCATATTTGTGACCTGTGTGTATCTACGCTGTGACCTTTCGATCTGTTTGGGATGCATACGGCTCTATAGTACAAATTAGGTGCAATGCATTACATCATTGATGTCCATTTGTGGCGCTGTCCCCTATGGCAAGTGTCTGATTTCACTTGCCACAACTAGACTGTACATCGCACGACCCGCAACACAAATCTGAAGGAGGTAGCATATACTCTGATTTCAGAAATTTTAGATGCTCAGAAATTGTAGGTACAGAGAAGCAGTTCCCTATTGGATGTGCGTTAGTGTTTGTTTGGTGTATTGAAATTCTAGGTATAAAACAGACACACGAAAAGTACCGACAATAAAAGTACACCGAAAATTACAGAACACAGAACTTGAAAAATATGGTCGCTGAGGATAATCTTGAGATTTTCTAATCAACTCTGCCTACCGAGCGTGCGCATACACACACACACACACACACACACACACACACACACACACACACACACACACATAACATTACTACCACATCATGTACGTCCGCTCGTCGCAAGAGAAGCACAGGAAGTGCATGCAAATCAGAAATTGCACCGAAACTGGCAGTGGGTGATTTTCTCTATACCAAATACCATCTTGAAAGGATAGCTGACAAGATCTAAAAGAGACAGATAGAGATTTTTGCCACGAAACAGCCCCCAATCCATATGCCAGAAACTGGCGAAGCCATGAATCGACTACCTTGAACTCCATCCTGACTTAAACCATCCGGAGCACAGTACTGTCGGGCGCCGAAGAACGGACCGCCGAAGAACGGCCAGGCTAGAATTTCACCAATTCGAACGGTCTAGGCAGGATTATTGCAGGCAAGAATGGAAAGCGTAATGTACACTCAGACATATAACTCTGCATAAATGTACATGTAAGACTGTACCATCGAATAAGAACGAAACTGCTGTGTTCGCTAAAATAAGAACGGGCTAGGCTAGAACCCTGACCCCCAATTCTTCGGCGCCTGACAGTACTGTACATCGAGACATAACTAGAGTTCTCTTTAAACCAACAAGCCTCGGCAAGCGAGTACTTGCAGCCCAAAGCCAGTGAACATACCGGCAGCCTCAAGACATGATAACGAATGACATACTGGGCAGTGGAGCAGAACTAGACCACCTTCAAAATTGTGCCAAGCAGACAGCCTTCCGACAGGTTGGCATGCACGCACACACATGCATAAAAACATGCACATATGCACACACTTCCTTGCACACTTCCATGCACACACACACACACACACACACGTCCTACCTTTTACAACAACCTCAAGGGTCAATACCGGCAGTTCGTCTTGTTCCATGCCATCCGCAGGCGATGGCGACGGAGCAACATCACTACCCTGTTGGCTGCTAGAGCTGTTCGAACTTCCCACCGAACTGACAGATGAGATGGAGTTCTTCGCCGGTGCTCTGGAGCCATTGTCGCCTTGCTCAAAGACATCAGCACAAGCTGCTGCAGCACTGCCATCACTCTCCTGGCGTTCAACACCGGGCCACTGAGCACTGGCATTGGAGGAGGAAGAGTCGAACACTGGCGACGTGCGCGAACCTCCACTATCTAAGCCATTGCTAGCACCATGCAGCGGCGGTGCACCCACTGGCGGCTGCAGCTGAGCTGGCAAAGAGACACAGGAGGCAGCGTCCGGAGGCAGAGAGGACTCGGGCGAGGACGCAGACGACACCGCATGGGCTGGACTGTACGGCTTCATGGGCGAGTTAATGAGCTGCTTCAGGTCAGTGATGACATTTATCAGCCTACTTGGATTCTCCACATCCTAACAAGTGTAAAAAAAATAGTATCATCAGAACAGAAGCAGAAATTGACCAGCATCAGTATACTGCTAAAGAAACGAAAGGCACAGAACAAAAGAACCTGCACTACAGGAATTACCGCAAACTGGCCTTTAGAGAATATTTGGAGACGGCCACGAAACCGGGAAATGCCCAAATCGCACCCTTATTGCGCAGCCGTCGCAACTGGCTGATCTCAGAAGTCGAGCTTGGCTCAACTTTGCGATTTGGACCTCTTTTACAGTAAATGAAGTACGCTAGGCAAGTGTTGCTGGTAGACTTGTAAGAATGTACCCAGGTAACCGAGTGCCAAATAGTCGTACACCCCTGCAGTGCACTTTGAGGCACATAAGCCAGGCGACGTTGCATCACTGACTTCTTCCGTGAATGGTGTGTCGTGAGTTCGGATTGCACTTCTGCATCGCATCGTGCATTGCAAAAAAAAGAGAGCATCTGTTAATCCAGCTTTAGGCCCCATGCCATGTTTCAGAACGCAACGGTACAGGCACTCAAACGTTCGTAAGTCAGTCAATTCTTCACAGAATTCTGTACTATCGAAGTACCGTAAAAGCCCCTGTATACGCCCACTCAAAATTACACCCACCCTCTGTGTACACGCCCAGCCAGGGGAAGTCATCATTTTTGTTTCAAAATAGCGCCCATGCCCATGTATACGCCCAGGTATGCCAGAAACACCAGTACATGCACAGGTACTGATACCCAATACTTACTGCTATCCCTATTCCAAGTATACGCCCGGTTCCAAAATAACGCCCCGTACCCTTGTATACGCCCAGGAAATCGAGGCTGCTGTTCTATACGCCCGGGGCCTAAACACGGGCTTTTACGGTATCTGGGAAGGGGTCGCAGCGAAACCCGGCCCCTATAGCAGCCATTGCGGGCAGATCTGAATGACACAGATCGTGACTGGTGCAAGGCAACCGCCCAATCCACGTAGCTGACAAAGCAGTGTGAATCGCCTCCCAATGCACTTTGGCCACCCAGATGCACATGCAGAGATTACTCTCAGACTTATTACTATTATTAACTTTTATTTTACTAGGGTGTTTCCCACAGACCTATGGTCTTCTTACGGGAGCCCCTAGGAAGGTTAAGCATGAGCGAATAAATGAGCGGCAGTCTGTACAAGCGCACTTACCCTGGCCATATGAATAAGTGTTTCTCGTCGCGTCCGTAGCCTCTGAAGGCTGACCAAGATTTTGTGACGAGCTCCAGTCGTCACACCCTGCGGATGAACAGAAAATAATACACATCACACACACACATACACACACACACACACACTCACGTCAAGTTGAGTTTGGACTGATAGTGTCTATTGCCAAGGAGGCTGGAGGCAGTATAGATCAAAAATTCATCTCTAAAATGTCTTCAAAAACGGCAGGTATATTCGATTACAAAGCCAGTCTCAGTTATAAAGCCATGGCTTTATAAATGAGATAACATCTGAACTATGTTTTGTAAAAATGAAGAAACGAGAACTATACTAACAAACTTCCAGCCCAGCAGAAAGGGTAAACAAGTGGATTTAGATTGAAATTTCTGTGTGGACGACTTTTATGTAGTGACTAGTCGGTATACATCTAAAATAGATAGGGAAGCAGCGGTGTTTCGAATATAAGGCCATAGCGTTAAAGGCACGGATATACAGTAACAATTAGAAACCATACCCTCCTCGTGAGAGTTTCATCAGATAGGTTGAGCATTTCTTCGTAACTCATCTCTGCAAACAAGTCCTGGTACTTGTGGAGACGAAGGCCCTTAAGCCAATGCGGTACTTCTACACATAGAACAGACGGCGGATACACAGGAAGCAAAGACAGATGCATTCTAAAGAAAAGCTGAGGTTCTCAGGTATAGACACCAGGGAACTAAACAGTTTTCGATCCTTCCTCCTCTGCACACATCAGGGAGTAGTATATTCCTGGGAGAAGACAAGCAAAGCATGCCCCTGTGCTCTATGAACACAATTAATAGTAAGGACTGGTAGGGCTGCGAAATGTGCAGAGCCTACACCAGTCAACACACGACACATATTCGTACAGTACAACACTGACCAATGGCAATGATCTTGGGCATAAGCGTCATGTAAGTTACAGGGCTGAGCACTTCCTTGTGACTATGAATGGGTGTACACAAGCACGCAGATGGTAGTCCACCCCCACCAAGACTATTTTACAACCCCTAGAGTGGAGCACAACATAGTTCGGTTGGAGCAGCAGACACGCATGGCCTGATCTAATTGGCAACCCGTAATACCAAGTACATATCTACAGCTACTGTAGCAAGATTGATGTACCCACACCCACAAGGCTGGCAACAGCATAACAAGACCTGCTTACACTGTACAGTGGAGATTGGATATAATGACACTCCTTTGGTAGAGAACACAATGTCACTACTGTATATTCAATCTGTTGATTTGTCACTACAGTCCATTTTAAAAACATAGACGCATGGCAAGTTTGAAATATTTCAAATTTGGCTGGAGCTTTTTGAGAATTCTTTTCGGAATATTGCTCAGGTCCTTCCCCCAATTACTTTCATATACTTAGATTTTTAAGAGATCGGATAGCAAACGCTAAGTTTCGAAATTTTTATGCACAAAGTGATCACAGATTTTATGTGGTACAGGCGCTGGCCTAACGTTTTTTGAAAGCATGCGTCTATATTTTTGAAACACACTGTATGTAAACCCAATCTTCACATATCCAATATGTATCAAAAATGCATGTGCACAATTCATATGGATTTCAGATGGGCATGTTATAGTTCAAGCCAAAATTAACACTGCAGCATGTACAATCAGTCGTGTACATTGTACTTCCGCTTTGCAGTGTACTGGCACTTGCACATGACACAGCCACGTTTCATGAATGCCAGTCCCACAGCCATGCTTCATGCATGCCAGTCTGCCTAATGCAAGCTAATACAAGCGGAATTGGGAATTGTACAGAATAGTTGTTATACATGATCAGATGTGTGCACATTTTCATTCAAAGGCATATTAGTACATGTACCTTCACTGGTCACACAATGCTGTATCATTGGGAACATCAGGGACTGAATAGGTCCTTGCTGTGGGGCATCCTCTGTTGAAATGCTTCTGCTAGGGGCCAAACTACAGAGATGATCTGATTCTCCATTCACAAAGTGAGCACATCCCGTCGAAATGAACATCTTTCTGCTTTTTTTCCGCCGCCAAGACCATTTAATCACCCAGTCTCCCAGATTCCATCGAAAAAGTGCATGCATGCCTTGCCAACTCTAGTAGTTGCATCTCCAATAGTACGGGGCACGACTACTTTTTTACCAGGATGCAACTGTAAAGTCACTGCTGTGCCCACCATGTTTGTATATAAAACACCCAGTGAACCTTCTAAGAAGTTCTTCAAAGTACAATACAAACACTGTGCCTACATTACCTTTCATGCCGGGACGGGGTTCTGGAAATTGATTGTCGTTCCCGGCAGACCTCGGACCCGGACGTACAGGCATAGGTAGCGATTGCGAGCGGCTCATATTCCGCTCCATGCTGTCATCAATGTGCTGTATTTCTCCTGCCACCTGCATGGATGACGAACGGATCGGTACTCGGCCATCCACATGCGGAACGTTGAGCAGCTGATGAGAGGGGGAATAGCGGGTGCTACCCGGCAAAGGTGGTGCTGGAGGTGGAGCAACATACTGGTCCATGTTTTGATGCCAGGTGCGATGCAGATGTCCTTGCGCCACAGGCATATAGTGATTGGGGACTGCATTGGGCTGGGGAACAGGACCAGCAAGTGCCATCCCATTGTAATTGGTGGCCGGAATGCTATTTTCAATTTTCTCTCGCCAATGGACTAAGTTGTCACGCTGGTCCTGAGGTACAGCTGGATGCACCATGACTAGTGAAAGCAACTGCATGGCATTGTTGCGATGCAGTCCAGTCTTGACTACTGACTGCATCACTGAATCCAATAGAACTGCATATTGATCCACTGCAGCAATGTTTCCTGGCCTTAGAACAGGAAGGCGAGTCAACAGTGCGCTTATGGCAAGTTCCCTGCTGACAGCTTGAAGGCTGGATATGTAGTCTACGAAATTAAAAAAAATAGTGAAAAAGAAGGAAAGCAATAGATCGAGTTCATCCAAATAATAAAATACTTATACTGCAATGACGTACGCACAACCGAAAGAAACTGAAAAGCAACACGAAGACTCACCTGGATCATTCCCTTCTGTTTCCAGGGTAATGAAAGATGGGTCAGGGGGTTGTTGTCCTTGTATCCGCTTCTCCAAAACATTCAACGAGAACCGTGCTTCAGCCATTGATAGTTTGCAGAACAAGGTATAGAGTAGAATGAGTTGCTCGCTCTGCGAGAATTCACTAAACCACGAGCCAATCTTCTGGAACTTTTCGGAAAACGCCGGGACGCTTCCACGGTTAGATAACGTATTGGCCATTGAAGCTAACAAGGTCTACCACACCACTTTCAGGGAGCACTGATCATTTTTTTTATGAGACACCAGTAAACTTCTCTCGCTTCACCTGCTCCGACATATCATGAAGCACCGTCTGGCAAAACTAAGCGAATCATCTCTCAGCGCGAGAGCCTTTATAATTATTATCACTGTAGATCAGCTCACGCAGTCAAAAACCTCAGAACAGACATCAAGCAGAGCACGACTCGAGTCGGAGAAAGGAAAATCCTGCAAGGTACCACGACTTGACTCGATCGCGACGGCTACAACCCACTTACATCAGAATCTACAATCTTGACCACTCACTGACATGGACTGCAGCGTACTGAAGACAGTGAAGTGCACAAATGAAACGAGTAGCATAATCAACATGGAAACACCATGCACAATCGTCCATGGCATGCGGCTGGAGCAGGGAGTACTAAAAACCCGGTGTTTTAGTACTCCCTGGGGTGTAGTGCAAGTGTAGCCGGCAAGCCTACGACTCGAGAAGGACGTCGACGCTGTACCGCTCGTGACGGCACAGCGACACAGTTAGTGCCATAGCTAAGTCTAGGCATAGGCATAGGCTACAAAATAATTGTAGGCATAGACTTATCACTCAGAAGTCAGAGTGCAGAGTCTATGATCTGATGACGTGAATCAAGAGGAAAACGAAGAATACTGTCGACAGTAGAAGAAAAATAATACTAATAGGTTGTAACAATTACATGGAAAAATGTGGGCACAACTATTACTTGCCACAAGTCTGTGTACTCGCGCTCGTTCGTAGAGTGCATGCAGACAAGACTCTCTGCCTGGGCCTTGGGCCGTGCTGCAGATCGTCTCCCTAATCGTAGGCCCAGCCCGTAATGCCAGAAGTGTAGATCTACTAGTATTAAATGAGTAATAATTATTTTAGTAGTTTTATTCCAAGCAATCATGTGACGTGGCTGGGACAGCCAATAACCACTTTGTGTGGCGATTACAGGGTCACCTTCCTAAGGGTGTGCAGGGTCAAGTAAGTTTTATAGCCAACCACGGCCTCCTCATCTCCATGCTGCTAACGGGGAGATCACTACTGGATATGACTGACACCAAGCTGGCAGCATTCTGCAACTGGCAGTGCGGCTGAGACAATAGAGAGGTTAAGATGCACGTTATTTCTGACCAGACAGGCACAGTGGGTTGGTCAAAGACCATGATTGAGATACGAGAGGTACTAGGTACCTGGTTCAAGTCCTGCCTGGGAGCGTTTTTTCCAGCCTTGCTGCAACCCACAGTCAACTGAGAGGTACCTGGTTCAAGTCCTGCCTGAGAGCGGTTTTTCCAGCCGTGCTGCAACCCACAGTCAACTGGGAACTTGTGGCCAGGCACAAAGGGTACAGGGGTACATGGATGCAGATAAAGGGGTTATGAGACGTATCCACTCACCCCCACTGTTAGTCTCTGCATCTGCTGCTAGGGCTTACAGGGTATTAGTGGCCGGCGTGGGTTCCCTTCGGGAACGGACACAATATTTACTTTTATTTCTGACGTAACGCGCGAAAGTTCAGCTCACGCGTCGAAAAACACGCGAGTGACCTGCAGCTCACGTCGAAATTTGGAGTTTTACGCCAAATTTGACGTGAAATTGCGTCACGTCAGAAGTAACGTGCGTCTTAACCTCCCTAATGTCTTTGTCAGTAGTACTACTAGTAGGATCAAACTGCTTTGAAGCAGTCTCTCAGCAGTCTCTCTGTCAGCGGTGCTGTTTACGGTGTGCTTTGCTTCCTTGCGACTGTCCGTGCTCATATAGCAGTGGACAATGAACAGGCAAGCGCCCTGCAGGACACCGCACACCGTGAACGCATAGTGCAGCATGGCAGAACTGCTACCCATCGCCTGCAAGCCCACCAGTCAAGTCGGTGCTATGATCACGTTCAGCCATAGTGATCGAAGGAAGAGCGACCAGCGCATGCATGCGATGTGTCGTCCTTTCGGTGAGATATTGGCTCCCTGTTGACATGGTAGGAGTTACGCTGGCGACGCTCTCTAGGAAGCTGACCTAAATGTCTCAGGAAGCCAGCTGTCACATCTCGAATTTCGTTGTGGTGAATACTGGGGTAGTACCATACCCACCCGCCGGGCAGCTCAGGGGTGTACGGGGGGGGGGGGGGGGGGGGGGAGGTCGAGGGGTGCGGACGACCCCCCCCCCCCCCCAGATTATCGTCTTGCACTTCATGGGCATACGCATAGAGTACCGATATGTCGTGATATCAACGCGCCGCACGGTTACATGCATGCCGATGTAACCCCCCTCTGAAGAGCTGTGCGTACATCCCTGCAGCTCAAGGCATTACATGGGCGATGGTGAACTGGCTCCCACAAGAGCAGGTAGACGGCATGTGTGGTAGTCTCCAGTTGTAACGGAGATGCGAACCATCCCGGAACTCCGCGAGAGCAAGAGCAAAGCCATGGCGTTTCAGGGGCCGGCATGTCAACCACCCTAAGGTGACCTTCTCAGTTGCAAGCTCGACTGTGTGTGTGTGTGTGTGTGCGTGCTTAAAACAATAAAAATTACAAATAAAAATTACAAAATCAACGATCACTCAGCTCGTGCTCAGCTCAGTGAAGAGCTGCACGTACGTGAGCGTATAAGGCCGCATGTTTTTATTTCTGTTTCTCGTCACCCGCGCGCATACGATTCAGGAGTCTTTAAAAAAAACTGTGCTGCACTGTGGGGACCAGTACAGTCAGTCATGCACATGTGCAAGGCCCTGCATGGCCTGGCCTGCGCGACACATGATGCGAGGTCGCTGCATGCAGTTTTTGTTGCACAATCTACAAAATAAATTGTAGCTGCTCGTGCACAGAAGCTCCTACCACGTACTAGCCTGAGCAGCTACTACTGGAGTACTAGCTTTGGATGCTATTTTACACGGTGT